CATTTGCTTTTTCTTTTTTCCACTATTTATTATTTTTCTACTACTGTTTAAATATTTCCTTAATTATTGGTAAATCAAATTCTTTCCAATCACCAATTTGAAACAGCGTATCTTCCTCGTAGTGGTTCAAACCCTAAAATTTCTTCACACATTTCTATAATTCTTAACTACGTGGAATCCTAGAATAAGAAAACTGATAGCTATTTCCGCGCAACTAACTGAGTTACTGAAATAATTAAGTTAAAAAGTAATGTGTAGAAAACAAAGACGTTCTTACATTTCTGCTAAAATCTCAGCAGAATGGAGGTCAAAAAGCATGGAATTCCGGAAACAAACGGGTTAAACATTTTTAATAAAAAGATCTTTGTTACACCTCATTCACAAGCTTAATACAAAAGTTTTACATACTTCTCCAGAGCCCGCTGGCTTAACGTGGAGGCGCCTCTTTACATCACAGTGGCACTGCGCCAAATTTGCTGGATCCTTTCCCAGAACATGTTCATTTTCCCGCCAGTAATTTTGGCATGCAATTAGAAATGAACGCGACTATTTAACTCTAATTTGTGCCTCGGTGGACAGTAGTTGGGAAGCAGTCGCACTCGGGGTCCTATTACGGCTTGTGATGCGTGGTTTCCTCTTTCTTTATTTTGCCATTGGAGTAGAACTGGACGTAGAGGCTGTAGTGCTTTGTACAGCGATTAAGGCTTGCTTCAGCTTCTCTCGATACTTTTTTCTTTAAAGACAGTTGGTTATAGCAGTCGCATCATACCCTTGAAAAACTAGGAGCTCGAATCGTGCGCTTGAGGCGCAGAGGGAAAGTTGGCAGCGCATCACCATATTACTTCATTGGTCTTCTGGGGCCTGAACATTGACTTTGGGTACAAGAGAGATGTAGTAGTTCCGGAAGGTTTGACGTCTTCCCGGTCTACCCCTAGGTTAACAAGGACAACCTTGTCCCAACGACTTCATTCCAGTCTGCAATAGTTTTATGGACGCCTGCACAACTGATCACGAAACGGTCCACAGTGTATCTTTTGCAAACATACCACGACAACAACTTTCTTAAATGAATTTATACGGACATTTTTCCATACCTCTTACAACAATAAACAATCTTTACTTTAGTGAAAACCAATGACCATAAATCCTGCTGTTCCACCCCCCAAAAAAAAAAAAAAA